TGTGTGTGTGTGTGTGTGTGTGTGTGTGTGTGTGTGTGTGTGTGTGTCCTGGCTGCATGTGTGTCTGTGCAGGCCAGAAGAGACCATCAGATCATCTGGAACTGGAGTCACAGGTGGTTGTGAGCCACCATGTAGGTGCTGGGAATCGAACCTGGGTCCTCTAGAAGAGCAGCCAGTGCTCTTGACAGTTGAGCCATCTCTCCAGCCCACCCATCCTTTTGTTGTTGTTGTTGTTGTTGTGGGGAGTCTTATACGGCCCAGGACAGCCTCAAAGACTGTGTTACCAAAGATGTCCTGACCCTTCTGCGTCTGCCTTCCATGCGCTGGGGTCACAGACGTGTCACTGTGTCTGGCATTTACTCTAAAAATTAAAATTAGATCCTAGTCTCAACCCTGTGCTCAGCCAGCCCTTCCCCTTCAGGATGAAAGTTGCTGAAAAGGTCACTGTGTCTGGCTGTCTCCCCTCTTCTGTTTCTCCTGCCCACCGCAGTCTCACTTCTGCTTGCCCGGCTCTCCAGTGCAGGGCTTCCCAGGACTTCCAGTGGTTTCTAACTGCAAAGCCCAGTGACCACATCCTCATTCCTTACACTTGCCCTCTCGATGGCATTTGTCAGCCAACCCCTCCCACTTCTCCAGACACTTCCCTTCAATCCTGTTAGGCGGCTCTTAGGTTTCCTCATTCCTTCTGGCTGGTCCATCTCTTCCTTGGCCTTCCTTCCCTTAACTCTTGGGGTCAGGCAAACAATCCCTGCCTTTTCTCTGCTTGTCCCCTTCTGTTTCTGAATAATCAGATCCGTTCTTATGGTGCCAACATCACGCCAGCTGGACCAGTCTCCAGTTTCCTTCTGGAACCTGAGCTCTTTGCCTGCAGACATCCAACTTTTGGCCTCAGCTGGACTCTTACACTTTTGGTTTATGAAACTAGGTGGATGGGAAGAGAACATAAAAAGAGGAGCAAATTTGGTTAAAATCACTGGCTGCTCTCCTAGAGGTCCTGAGTTCAATATTCAGTAACCACATGGTGGCTTACAACTATCTATAATGGGGTCCGATGCCCTCTTCTGGTATGTGAATGCACACTCAGGCAAAGCACTCATTCATATGTGTGTGTGTGTACATGCATGTATATATACATATATGTTTATATAAGTATATATACGTTTAAAAGTTTATTTCTATATATATGTTTAAAACAAACAAATAAACCTTTATATATATATACAAACCTTAAAACATATATATAAACAGATCTGTGGAAAAAAAAGTGTTTGGGAACAAGTTGGCGTTGCCTGTGTGGTTTAGGGTCCCGGAGGCAGGTCAGGACTGAAGGAAGTTTTGGTCTCTGCAGACGGTAAGTGGACCGAAGCTGTTGTGCTGCCTGCCTGTGGTCGCCACAGCACTTCTGCTCTTCCACACGCTAGGCAAGTTCCCGTCACTGAGTTCACCCCTCACCCTCCAGCCCACCTCAGACCTATGTGTTCTCCTTGCCTGAACCCTCTGCCCTTCTGTAAGCCCCCTTTGTCTTCATTCCTTCTCCCTGCCTTTGCCACCGAGTGTTGGGATTACAGATGTGAGCCTCACTTGGCTTTAATGTGAGGCCAAAGGAAGGGAGAGCAAGGCAAGCCAGGCAGGCATGTCGGCAAATGTCTGTGATCCTAGAACTTGGGAAATGGAGGTGGGAGGATCAGGAATGCAGGGTCACCTTCAGCTGTATAAAAAGTTCAAGAGTTCAGTCTAGGTTACATGAGACCCTGCCTATCTGAAAGAGGGAGGAAAAGGAGAAAAGAAGGAAGAAACATGATGGATTTGATCAGGGAGTTGGTGTTCGTGCCTCTTTAAAGCAAGTGTGTCCCCCACCTCGCCTAGTTTCAGCCCTTATACAGCAACCTCTGCCCTCATTTTCCTTTCCTCACAGGATCTTGCTGTGTAACCCAGGCTACCCTCAAACGCGTGATCCTCCCCTCTCAGCCTCCCAGGTGCTGGGGCTTCAGGGATGTGCTGTTACTGTCTTCCCCCCCCCCCCCAAAACGCTCTGCTCACCCCTTCTCTGTTGTACTTGGTGCATTTCATACACGGACATCGCGCCTTCTCCGTATGTCATGCGTCTGGGAGCCAGAGCGCACAGAATGGCTCTGTGAACCACGCTGTTCATCTATGGCTGTAGACCTCCTTCCCATATCTAGACTTATCTGCAACTTATCTTTTTTTGTGATCCTGCCATTAGGAGTAGCCCAGCGGAAGTGACAGTGTATTGAGTTAGAAATCCTTCCCACCAAGACCTGCAGGTGTTCACCTGGGAGGAAAAGGCGCCAATCTAACATTGCTATCCTTCGCAAAACTGACCACATAAGCCTAAATCTTCTGTCATTCTCAAACTTCCATAGCACATCAGTACAAGCAACAATTTATACAATGATGGTGCCACTATTAGCTGCCATTTATAGTCTTTTTATGTTCTAGGCCCTGAGCTCTGTACCATTCGTTCATATATTATGTCCTTTGAGCCTAACAGTTAGCCTGATAGGTGATTTCTAAGATTCCCATCTCACAGATAAGAAAAACAAGCCTTGAAAGGTTGAGTAGAGCTGGGTATGATGCTGCACACCTGGGTTCCCAGCATTCAGGATGTTGAAGGAGGAGCATCTTGAGTTCCAGACTAGCCTGGGCTACACATATCAAGACCCTTTCAAGAAAGAGGGAAAGAAGAAAGGGAGGGAAAAGAGAGGGATGGGGGAAGGAGGAATGGAAAGAGGGAGAGCTGGGAAAGGAGGAGAAAGATGGGAAAGGAAGGCAGGAAAGAAGAAAAGCGTTTATAATAAGTGACTGAAATTATGATTAGCCTGGGGGAAAGGGAAAAGAAGATGATAGAAACTGGTCAGCCTAGCTAGTAACTTAAAAAGAGGCAGGAGCAGGGCAGGGATTAGGACCAGAGAGGAACTCTGCAGCAGCTGTGGGCTCATCGCCTGGCTCAGGCTATGATGGCAACAGGCAGGGGAGCCTGGCTCCAGAGCAAGCACTGTTTTCGCAGTAAAGAGCCTTTCCTAATGAGCCAATCTGTCTCTTCTTCTATTGGCATCCTGGGAACTGGGGTGCAGCAGAGATAATTTGCCTCACCCCACCCCCCCAACAAAGCACCATTACCTCCAGCACATTACATTAGCCTTTATCAGTCCTGGAAGCTCTCCGTCATCCTCATGGACTGCAATAATTCCAGCTAATTTCTTAAGTGTTCTAAGAGCCTGTGATGTGTTATGAGCCTGGTAATTGTTGACTGGTTCCCTCTCTGCTGTGGCTTGATTTCATACCTTGTATTTGAGCTGAAGTGTGCTCAGGATGCTTTATTACAGTGAGGCTTTTTGCAAAGACTCGCATTAAAAAATAACATTAAATACTGAGGTTGTTTTAAATCAGAGTTTAATTTTTCCTCCATTTCCTGTTATTCTTATTAAGAAGCAATGCAATTCTTCAAAAGATAGTGACCTCCAGTGCAAAACTTTGAGCAAGGACAGAATGGAGAATTAATGACGTTGCTAATTCTTTTGTTGTTGTTTGCTTTGTTTTTGTTTTTGTTTTTGAGACAGGGTTTCTCTGTATAACAACCCTGGCTGTCCTGGAACTCACTTTGTAAACCAGGCGGCCTCCAATTCACAGAGATCTACTTGCCTCTCCTCCCGAGTGCTGGGATTCACCACACATGGCTAAAGCTAATTCTTTGTAGAGAAGTCTAGGAGTGAGGCCCAAAATGATGAGCTGTGCTGAGACCCAAGCGTGGCTCTGGGAGACTTGGGAAACTGACGTCAGTTGCTTTTCTCCAAACATTTGCATTTATGGGAACCTCTTTGCTTCCGAGGGAGCCTGAAGAGTCCAGATGGCTGGACTGCCTTGCTCTCTTAAAGAGCAGGGAAGGAGGTAACAGCATGCACACACAAACACACACACACACACACACAAACACACACATAAACACACAAACATACATACACAAACACACGCACACACGTGCCAGCTCTGCCCTTCTGTCCCTGGTTCCTCTCGGGGTGAAAGGCACAGGTCATCCCCACCCTCGTCATGGCCCCAGGCAGTGCCATGTATCAATCTAAGTGGAAAACCTCCCAGAAGCGTTCTTTAACTCTGCTGCAGCTATATGACTGGCTTGGATTTAGAAAAGATCCTGAGGTCCATTGGCATCTTCTTGTCAGCTGTGAGCAGGTGAGTCACCCCAGAGGGACTCTGGGTCTCAGTGGCAGGTCAGGTTCACGGTGTCCGGTGTCCTTGGCGTTCAGGCCACATGGAGCCATAGGTTCTGGGTACCACCGGTGTGTCAGAACCTTGGGAATGGCCAGCGGGGGCAGTGTTTCTCCTCTAGTTGCTTCTTCATCCTGTTTCCCATTGACCCTTCTCTATTCAGCACCATATTGAGAATTATAAAAATAAAAATAAAAATAAAAATCCGTCTACATTAGCCTTGGGAAGGGAGGATTTATTGGCTCACTTAGCTGGAAAAGCCCAGAGGGTGAGCATCCATATATCAGGCCTGATCAGACCCAGGGGCTTCACTAATGTGACCAGTGCTTTCCCTCAATGTAATGTCACCTTCAGTCAGTCCTGTATTCAGAGGCCCCTGTGTACCGGTCCTCGGGCTCTCCGGAATCCATCCTTGTAGCTCAGCCATACCAGCAAGAGTGTGTCTGTTCCCACAGGGTCCTCTAGGGAACCGGCGTAGGTTACTCACCCAAACAAGCCTTCTGCAGTCAGAAGGATGACACAACACCCCTGGTCACATGTGTGTCCCACCAAATCCGCATGGCCCCTGTGTGGAGGAAGTATGGTTCACCAAAGGACAAAGTGCCATTATAGAAAGAAGGGGACTACAAAAAAGGGAAGGGGAGGGAAAGAGAGGGGAGAGGAGTGGAGAGAAGGAGAGGGAGAGAAGGAAAGGAATCAGATTTGACTAGCTGTGGGGGCTCACACCAGTAATCCCAGTAGTCACAGCAAGTTCAAAGCCAGCCTGGTCCATATAGCAGTGCCAGTCTACATAGTGAGACCCTGTCCAAAAAAAAGAAAAGAAAGAAAGAAAAGAAAAGAAAACAAAGAGAAAAAAAAAAGCAGAGGGCAGACACAGAGACTAGAAAGAGACAAATGCCTGTTGGGTTTCGTTCTGGTGTTTTTTTGGCTGGCATCTGCCTGTGATCTCGGTGTCTCAGAAGCTGTAGCAGGATAGCAAGTTCAAGGCAACATTATGAGATGTAATCTATACACATATGTACGTGTGTTATAATATTTTATATGATATTATATATATTTATATATATATTAAAATTTAAAATCCGAACAATCCTGTGTATGCCTGTGGACATCTCCTGGGTCAGAGGCAAGTGTGTGAAGGCAGTATGCTGGCCTTGGAGGCCTTCAGTTCAGTGCTGAGGGACCACTCAAGCTTCTGTGTGGTCTCCCCCCGGCCAGCAATCGGTACCTGATAGAATTTCTTGAGATTGGAGGTGTCCTAACTCTGCTGGAGATACTTGGCCTAGAGAAGATCAAGGAAGAGGACAAGAAGGAATCCATCAAACTACTTCAGATCATCGCAAACACTGGCAGGAAGTACAAGGAGCTCATCTGTGAGAGCTACGGTATGTCCTGGGTGTGCCAGCCTGCGGACGCATCGCCCAGTGCCTGGGTGGAGCGGCCAGCACCCACACTGCCATGGGGAAAAGCTATCATAGAACAGCTCGGTGCCCAGGAAGCTCCAGTTTCCCCAGTGAGCTTCTCTGTCCACATCACAGCCTCAAGAGCAGATCTGTGGCTTCCCTGACTGTCGTTTGCTCAAAGGATGATAGATTCAGACATACTTCTCTAGCTTTTAGTTTACTTGTGATGTGTATGTGTGCGTGAGTGCATTGCAGAAACCAGAAGATGATGATGAATGTCAACCTCTTTCATTCTCCTCTCTTTGAAGCAGGTGTCTCCCTGGAACTGGGGATTGAGTTTTCTTGGCTAGGCTAGAAGCTGCCAAGCCCCCGTCCCCACCCATTTTGGAGCTGGGTTACAGGCATATGAAGTATGTCAATCGTGTTACAAGGGTGCTTGGCTCAAAACTCAGTGCTGGAATGTGAACTCAGTATCATGTAGCATGCGCTCTTTTTTTTTTTTAATTTTATTTTTTTCAAGCATGCGCTCTTAACCACTGAGCCATCTCTAACCCTTGTTTGGTTTTGAGACAAGGTCCCATCGAGCCCAGGCTGGACCCTTACTCTCTGTGTAGTGTCTTAGTTACTTTTCTGTTGCCGTGATAAAACACCATGACCAAGACCACTCACAGAAGGAAGAGTTTGTTTGGGACTTATGGGTCCTGGAGGTTAAGGGTTTATCATGGTGGGCAAGATGGCAGCAAGCAGCAGATGTGTTGGCTAAATCGGCAGAACTCACATCTTAAGCCGCAAACTGGAAGCAGATAGACCTTGCCTGAAATGGCCAGTCTCTCAAACCCTCAAAGCCTGTCCCAGGAATTAGTTTCTTAGCTGTTGCCACATCTGGTTAATCCTCCCCCAAATAAGTAGGAACCAAGTGTGGAAATGCCGGATACGGAGGACATCTTACTCAAACCACCACAGTAGCCAAGGTTGCCCTTGAACGTCTGATCTTCTTGTCTCTACCTCCTGAGAGCTAGGATTATAAGCATTCAGCGCCACACTGAGCATCAAACTCAGGGCTTGGCAAATGCTAAACAAGTACTCTTAAAACCAAACCACATCCACAGTCGTGTGTGTGTGTGTGTGTGTGTGTGTGTGTGTGTGTGTGTGTGTGTTTTCTCTGTGGAGACCTGGCTGTCCTGGAACTCGCTCTGTAAATCAGGCTGGCCTCAAGCTCAGAGATCCACCTACCTCCGCTTTTCAAATGCTGGGGTTAGAGGTGTGTGCCACCACTGTCCAGCCTTCAGTCTTCCACTTCAATGTATCCTTTTCCACACACACAGTCAACAAACGTTTATTAGCTGTGTAAAATCTATGTAAAATCTATGTAAAATCATTATGACTAATGCTAGCAACAAAACTGAGTTAAAATTATTGAATGCCAAGGGACTGAAGAGATGGCTTAGCTGTTAAAAGCATTTACTGGTCTTGCAGATGACCCAGGCTCCATTCCCAGCACCCACATGGTAGCTCAGAACTGTGACTCCAATTCCGGGGGATCCAACAGTCCCTTCCGGTCTCGGTGGACACCAGGTGCACCTATGATGTACACATAACTGTATAGGCAAACACCCAAACGCATAAAACTAAGAATATCTTTCCAGGGATGATGGCGCAGGCCTTTAACCCCAATACTGGAGAGATAGAGGCAGGGTGATCTCTGTGAGTTTGAAGTCAGCCTGGCAGCTGTCTCGAAAAACCAAAAACAGATAAATAAATACCTCTCTTTCTGGAGAGGTGGTTCACAGCCCTGGCTGCTCTTTCTATCGAGTGCTCTGTTGCCGGCACTCACACACACAATGGTTCACCAATGTCTGTAAGTTTACTTCCAGGAAATCTGACACCCTCTTCTGGCCTCTGCAGGTACCCGACTCCAGAGTGGTACACAGGCATCCGTGCAGGCAAAACACATACTCATAAGCTAAACTTTATAAAGAATAATATTAAAAAAAAATGTCCTTAAAAAGATTATAGGTCAGCCGACTATGGTGGTTCCTACCTTTAATTCCAATACTTAGGAGGGAGATAAACATATCTCTGTGAGCTTGAGCTCAACCTGGTTTGCATGGTGAGTTCCAGAACAGCCAGGGCTACATAATAAGACTGTCTAAAAAAATAAAAAGTAAATTAAAAAAGGTTACAGTCTGGAAAGAAGGACTTCTGTGACCAGCACAAAATAAAACTGTGCTTTGAAGTTTTTAACGAACCTACAAAATGTACAGATGGAACACTTTTTATGTTGTTTCTTTACTGAATAGCAAACTTGTGGCCTCCTCATGAATTCTGGGCAAAAATTTTCCCTCTAAGCTACACACACACAAACACAAACACACACACACACACACACACACACACACACCAAGCACGCAACCTGTGCTGCAGAAAACTACTCTCATAGCTGGAAGTAAACAGGACAGTAACACAACATGAAAACTGAGCCTCTTTGGTTAAACAAGCTCGGTTGAAAAGTTCTTAAAGCAATTGCCGTCATGCAAACTTGAGTGGGAACTGTTCTCTTAAATCCTGTCCGATTTCTCTTCCTCGCCCAGGAGTGAGAGCCATAGTGGAGTTTCTGGCGAAGTCTAAGTCAGAAGAGACGCAGGAGGAAGTGCAGGTCCTGCTGGATACCTTGGTTCATGGCAATCCCAAGTACCAGAACCAGGTGTACAAAGGTCTGATAGCTCTGCTGCCCTGTGGGTCCCCGAAAGCGCAGCAGCTGGCCCTGCAGACTCTCAGGACGGCCCAGGTGAGCCACAGCTATGCTCTGGAGCTCTGATTCACTGATTCACGTCACAGCCTCACAATTACCTTTCCAGGCAGCACTTCGCACTGACCTGAGAGGCAGAGCTCGGCCTCCCACCTCCTGCCTGCTATTCAATCAGCGTCACCTCCGAAGGCCACGGTGGGGCAAGGACTTCATGTCTCCCGGCAGAGTGATTTGTCCTGTTTATTTAAGGATCAGAAAGATATTGGCAGACTTCAAAGTGGTTGAGACAAGCGACAAGGAGGAAAGATTAAGGGCGTCCCTTTGACAGGGAGAGAAGCACGGCATTTCTGTAGGCAGGTGGAAGGGAAGAGGCCAGATCTCACTGACTGGAAAAGCGCTTTGTTTTTCTGAGCTTCTGCCCTAGAATGTGAGTGAAGTCAGACTGGAGGCATGATGGCATTGCGCCTAGGAAGGAGGGGAACGTGGCTTTGACAGGAATGGTGAGAGCTCTCGCAAGTGCTCCAGAGGTTGGGTTGGAGGGAGGCAGACAACAGCAAGGCCTGAAGAGAGTGGGTGCTGAGGTGACCAAGATGGGTAGACTTTTCTGAGCCGGAAGGTGTGGAACCAAAAACAGACATCAAAGACGCCATCTAGCTTTGGGCTTTGCCGATAGGGTGAGCTATACAGCACTGAGAGAGACCTGGAAAAGAGAAGTCAGGTTCATGTGGGAAAACTTAGGTTTGGACTCCAGTGGCCCTCGGTAATGCTTTGGCCTTTTAATTTCCCAAGGGGCCCTGCAGTGGTGGGGCACACCTTTAATCCCAGCACTCGGGAGGCAGAGGCAGGAGGGTCTCTGTGAGTTTAGGGCCAGCCTGCTCTGCACAGTGAGTTTCAGGACAGCCAAGGCTACACAGAGAGCCAGTGGGAGGAGAGTCTTTGATCAGACCTGAGGGTCTCACAGTTGCCACCCTGTGCCTCCTACAGCTGGCACTTCGGTAGGCCCTTGTAAGCATGACTCTGTCTCCTCACTGGTTGGTGAAGGTGGTAGGTAAAGTTTGAAGAGGTAAAAAATAAGTTAACTGAAAGGTGAGATTCCAGAGAAAGATTTAGGATCCAGGATGAGTAGTCTCTCCGTCACGTGTCTTCCCTCCCCAAGCCATAGTCACAGACCTTGGTCCTGCTTGTCCTAACAGGCAGCCAAGAGATTTGGCTTAAGGCATCTTGAGATAAAGACTAGAGTCAATTCACCTCCACAGCCTAGCTGTCCAGGGGTCCTCATTTCACTTCTAAGCCTCAAGAGTCAGGCCTGTCATCCTTTTTCTGTCCTGTCAGTCAATCGTTGGAGCGACACACCCCAGCATCGTAGACCATGTGCTGAAGATTTTGACCACGGTGCACCTGGAAGTCCAGTATGAAGGTAAGGAGGCCCCCAGGGCACCAACGGTGGCATGGAGAGGCGGCTCTCCAAAGTCGGCCTCCAAAGAGCCTGTTGCTGGCTGTCCAAACTGACCTTGACGGAAGAGGGAAGAGGCCAGCTTCCTCTAGTCAGCAAGTTACTCGGGTAACAGTGGTCATCGTTCATTTGTATATGTTACAACCGGCTAGGGCCAGAGCTGTCTCTCATCTGGTTCCTGCCGGCTTCACTGAAGCCCCTGACTGAGCTAAGGCTGCAACTCAGTGATGCTCGGCTGCTGCACAGGCCTGGGTTGGGCATCAGCAATGAGAGAAAGGAAAGGGAAGCCCAGTGGTGCACACCTCTGTTCCCAGCACTTGGGAGGCTGAGACGGGAGAAGCTCAAATTCCAAGCCAGCCTGAGCCGTGTAACACAACTGTCTCATAACAAAACAAACCAAAAACACCCTAGAAAATGTCTTTCTTGGAAAAACAAAAACAAAAAAGACTAATTTGAAGACTGATGGCATCCATAAGTTTTCATTTATTGGCCTTCCATAGGTCATTTCATTGTTTCTCAAAACAATCCTAAGGATACAAAGTCTGCAACCTACCGGGTTGTCAGAAGGTTTGAGGGAACAATGGTGAAAGCATATGGTGATGGCCTTTTTCCTTCTCTCTCTCTCTCTCTCTTTTTTTTTTTTTTTTTTTTTTTTTTTTGGCCTTTTGAGACTGTGTCCATTATGCAGTGTAGGCTGGTCTTGAACTCCATCCTCCGTTGGCTTCCCAAGTACTGGGATTACAGGCATGCAGCACCACACTCGGCCAAGTCTGGTCTTAAACTCATGATTCTCTCAACTCTACCTCCCTACTTTGGCTGGTCCCTAGAAACCTGACTTGGGCAATGAGGGAATGAATAAAGAACAGCCAGTAGATGGGAACACATACAGAAAGCGGGGGAGGGGAGGGAGGGGGAAGAGGGGAGACGGGGAGAGGGAGGGGAGAGGCTGGAATCAGGTGGACTGTGCCCTCTAAGAGCAGCACGCACTTCATGCGTTCACACTGAATCCAGGAGGCAGCTGACCCAGTCTCAGGCCGTGAGCAGCTGGGAGGGGGAAGCCAAGGTTTATAGTCTGCGGATACTCCAGTTTTAGCTGAAGACCTGCCACTCCTCCGCACCTGTACTTGGTCCTGCAGAAGCCTTTGCCATCCTCCAAGGGTCACCCAGAGAAGACGTGGCCATTTCCACAGCTCTGAGGCACGGGGTCCTTGACATGGCTGTGCTCGCTTCCGTGACACACATTCACTCTGGCCTTCGTTTGTTCCTCACACTCCATCATGTGGGCTGGACCCTGGTTTGGTCGGTTGGTTGGTTGCTTGGTTGGTTGGTTTTGTTTAGTTTAGCTTTGTTTTGTTTTCCTGTTCCCTGATCTTGAAAACTAACCCAGCGTTGGCTGGAACTCTTGATCCTCCTGCCTCTGCCTCCACATCTAGCTCACCACTGTGATCCTAACACCTGCCCCTAGTCCAAGAGTCAGTCCCACCCATATGGCTCCAGCACTCTTCCTCATCCTGTTTGCACAACATGTTTGGATATATTATTTATCATGAAAAGGTTTTCCTTTAACTTTCCTTTTTGCAAATATTAGAGAGGTTTTTTTCTTTCTTTCTTTCTTTCTTTCTTTCTTTCTTTTTTTCTTTTAAGATAAGGTTTCTCTGTGTGTATTTTTGGCTGTCCTGGATTTTGTAGGCCAGGCTGGCCTCAAACTCACAGAGATCCATCTGCCTCTGCCTACCCCATTGCTGGAATTAAAGGCGTGTGCCACCATGCCTTGCTAAATACTGTTTCAAAATAATAATTATTCTGATTTCTAAGTTTTTTTGCCTTCACTACTTAACTTTTATATCTGAAGAAAATCTTGGTCTTGGGGCTAATTTAAGAGGCTGAAGTACTTGGGAAGTACTCAGCCAGGACCATCAACGGCAGCACATAAGGCGCGGCCTCTGTGAGGACGTGGCCTCTGTGAACATCCAAGAACATCCAGCGTGAAGCTGCCTGGCCTTTTGTGGCCAAAGCCTCCTAAACAGCATAACATTGTGTCCTGTTCGGACTCACAGGACGCGAGCAGAGTGGAGGTGGCACACACCTTTGATCCCAGCCCACGGGAGGCAGAGATGGGCAGGTCTCTGTGAGCTCGAAGAAGCTGGCCTGGTCTACAGAGTGAGTTCCAGGACAGCCAGAGCTACACAGAGAAACCTTGTCTCAGAAAAAAATGTATTATCTCTGTGTGTGTGTGTGTGTGTGTGTGTGTGTGTGTGTGTGTGTCCATGTATGTGCATATTCCTGCAGGTTTGGGTGCCCACAGAGGCCACAAGTGAACATTGGATCCCCTCGAGCTGGAGTTATAGGCAATTATGAGCCAGCCAATGTGGGGGCTGAAACTGAACTCCAGTTTTCTGCAAGAGCAACAAGAGCTCTTAACTGCGGAGCCATCCAGCAACCCCTGGCTTCCCATTAAGTTAGTGTGTCCTGAAGGGTGGAAAGTTTGTGTGATGATGTCTTCATGGTGTGATGCCCACGGAGGATGGGAGGGAAAGCAGTGCTGTGGCCAGGGCCGCCTTCGCCCACTCCAGGAGCTCCAGCACCTGTTCCTGCCCCCTTCACTCTGAAGGATAAACAAGCAAGCAGGGTGCCGAGGCCAATGCCCCAGGCCATCTTAGGGCTTCTACCTCCCTGTGGACTTCAGAGTTTCTTTTAATGACCGTCCCATGTAAGCTAAGCCAGAATCAGAGCTGAGAGAGGACTTCTCCATAGTGGTCCCGCCTGGAATTTATCTCCCCACTTATCACTGCTTTGCAGGAATTGGTGGCCAGTGGGGACTTATCAGAACTAGCAGTTTAAAGTAGCAGTCATTCATTATGTCCCTTCCCTAGAGCAGAGAAACTAGGGAGGCGAAAGCCAACAAGCTTGAGGCCAGTCCCTTGAGCTAGTGAGCCCCTGTCTCAAAAAACAACAACAACAACAAAAAAAAATAGGGCTGGTGAGGTGGCTCGAGGTTAAGGCACAGGCCACCAAGCTTGCCAGCCTGAGGTCAATCCCCAGTGTCCACATGGAAGGGAAGAACTGATTCCCAACTCCCACAAGATGCCCTTTTACTTCCACAGGAGCACACGCCTAAACACACATGCTAAATAAAAAACAATTTTGTTTTTGTCTTTGTTTTTCAAGACAGGATTTCTCTGTGTAGCCCTGGCTGTCCTCAAACTCACAGAGCTCCACCTGCCTCTGCCTCCCAGGTGCTGGGATTAAAGGCGTGCACCACCACTGCCCAGGAATAATTTTTTTATTTCATTTTGTTTTTATGTTGGAGACAGTGTCTCACACGTAGTCATTCTGGCCTGGAACTCACACAGTCTGCCTTTGCTTCTCAAGTGCTGGGATTAAAGGCATGTGTCAGCACACCCACCTACGTGTAAAAAAATGAATTATTATTTTATGGATATGAGTGTTTTGCCTGCATGGGCGTCTGTTGCCTGTGGAGGTCAGAAGAAGACAGCAAATCCCCTGCAGCTGGAGTTACAGATGGTGGTGAGCTATTATGTGGTTGCAGGGAACCAAACCCAGGTCTTCTGGAAGAGCTGCCAGTGCTTTTTCGGTTTGGTTTGGGGTTTTCGGTTTTCGTTTCTCCATGCAGCCTTTGCTGTCCTGGACTCACTTTGTAGACCAGGCTGGCCTCGAACTCAGCGATCTGCCTGCCTCTGCCTCCTCAAGTGTTGGGATTACAGGCATGTGCCACCGTGCCCAGCTGCCAGCCAGTGCTCCTAACAGCTTAGTTGGGAACTTTAAAAGAAGGGAAGTGTGACTCAGTGGTGGCATATTCCCTAGCTCTGGGAAAAAAGGACATGATACACACCTTTAACCCTAGCACTCAGAAGGCAGAGGCAGGTGGATCTCTGAGTTCAAGGCCAGCCTAGTCTACCTAGTGAGCTCCAGGATAGCCAGAGCTACCCAGAGAAACCCTGTCTCAAAAAAACAAAAACAAAAAGTAAAAAACAAAAAAAACAAAAAAAAAAAAAAAAAGGAAGAGGAAGCATGAAGCTATTAGCGTCTTTCACAAATAAACTATTGATTATTGCCATAGGGACATAAAAATTATAACATATCACTTGGTTAGGCGCACACTGATTGCAGTGACTCACCTTGTCAGATGCATGCTGGCCAAAAGTCATTTGGCCAAATGATTACCTTGCTGAATGATGATTCACCAAACCGCTGATCTACTGAAGATGTGTGTCCTTCAAATATTTGTAAAAGTTTTAGCAATTCGTACTGGTGGCATTAGTGAGGCCAAGAGAGTTGGCAGAAGCCACACCCTCCAGATCCTGAGGGCCTCTTCCCCAGCACCCCCTTTCTTCCCGGTGCTGGCCCTCCATGTCTCTCTGGCCCTGCCATGCTCATACCAGCTCCTCAAGAACAGGCAATCAAAGCTGTGCAGATGGTGACCTCTCTCTGCCCTTGTCCCCTGCCAGCAAACAAAGCAAAGACAAATGATCCCTTAAAATGTAGCCATAAAGGAGAAGGGAAAGCCATTTGCTTGAATTTTCACACAGACCCGCAAAAGCTGTTCCATCTGCCTATCTATCTTAGGTATCTATTTCTATATTTTAAATCACCCCTAAATGTAGTAGTTAGACACGATAGCCCAGGCTGACCACAATCCCTGGGTCCTGACTGCATCAGCTCTCAGAATGCTGGGATTACAAGCACATGCCACCACATCTGGCTGGTAAGCATTTACTATACCATCGTGCTTATGGAGGCCTGGAGAGGTGGCTCAGTGGTTAAGAGCACTGTCTGCTCTTCTAAATGGACCCAGATTCAATTCCCAGCAACCACATGGCAGCTCACAACTGTCTGTAACTCCATAGCCCTTACGGGTCCAGAATCTGAGAAGAGCTTAACTGGGTACTTGTTTCTGCCCCCCATCGAGGGGTGTTTTGAGTCTTGTTTGTAACCAGGGCTGG